GAAGCCCAACTTAAAGCTTTTTCGGAAGTGCTTATATTTTTTTTGAAAAGTTACTCCTTCTGTGTAAGATTTTTTGGCATAAGATTTATACCTTTTCTTCGAACTTACACCGTTTGTGGAAGCCCAACTTAAACCCATTTCGGAAGTCACTTATACCTTTTGTGAATAAATAAATTCATCAAATTTACACCTTTTTCTTAAGCTTATACCTTTCGTGGAAATGCTTACATTTTTTTTGAAAAGTTACTCCTTTTGTGTAAGAATTTTTGGCATAAGATTTATACCTTTTTTTCGAACTTACACCTTTTGTGGATGCCCAACTTAAAGCTTTTTCGCAAGTCAGTTATACCTTTTGTGAAAAAATAAATTCATCAAATTTACACCTTTTGCTTCAGCTTATACCTTTTCGTGGAACTGCTTATATTTTTCTTGAAAAGTTACCCATTTTGTGAAATAATTTTTCTCATAAGATTTATACTTTTTCTTCAAAGTTACACCTTCTGTGAAAGAGTATATAAGCACAAAAGTATAAATGTTATACCAAACATTCTTACACAAAAGGAGTAACATTTCAAAAATGGTGTAAGTATTTTCAGGAAAAAGTGTAAGCTTAAGCAAAAGGTGCAAAATTAATGAATTTTTTTTTTCACAAAAGGTATAAGTGACTTCCGAAATAGGTTTAAGTTGGGCTTTCACAAAAGGTGTCAGTTCGAAGAAAAAGTATAAATCTTATGCCAACAATTCTTACACAAAAGGAGTAACTTTTCCAAAATGGTGCAAATATTTTAACGAAAAGTATGAAGGAGTAACATTTCAAAGTGTTGATAACTCGAAAAGGAGTAACAAAGGGTTCATTTCAAAATGTTCGTAAACACAGAAGGAGTAACATATGTTCATCTCAAAGTAGTAAACACACAAGGAGTAACATTTCGAAGTGTTCATAAACCAATTGAGACAACCACTGAACAAATCAAAGGGTTTGTGACCCCCGCTGACCACCCAAGCGTCGGTGGGCTCCGGTGCTCACAGCCTTCTGAGATCGGCAACTCGACTTGCACCGCCGCCGCAAATCAAAGGTTTTTTGAAAGATTGGCTATCGATCTTGGACTCTCTGTGTCGATGTCGGTCTGTCTCTGTCGATCCCTGTTTATCTCGGTCTATCTGTGTCCATGTGGGTCTTTTCTCTGTCGATCTCTGTCGATTTCGGTCCCTCTGTCGATAAGTGTCCATCTAGGTCACCATGTCTGTTGACCTCAGTCTATCTCTCTCTCTCTCTCTGTCTGTCTGTCCGTTGCTCTATATTAAAAATGGTTCTCTTTTACATTGACATACTTGGTTGGATTTGGACTCGGAGTCGCTATTCGAAGCCCTCCAGACTAGTCTTGATGAAACGGAGTTCTACTGGGAGAAAGGCCAAGCCCTCCGAAACGCCCTTCTCTCTCACATTGCCATTATCTAAACAAGACAAATACAGTGTGATTGGATTTTAGGAACTTACAGGTTTTCGGGGGAAAAAACCGAACTTAGACGTTTTGTGAAGTTACTGACATCTCTTTGTGGCATAAGATTTATACCTTTTCTTCGAACTTACACCGTTTGTGAAAGCCCAACTTAAACCTTTTGTGTAAGAATTTTTGTCATAAGATTTATACTTTTTCTCCGAAGTTACACCTTTTGTGGAAAAAAAAAAATTCATCAAATTTACACATTTTCCTTAAGCTTACACCTTTTCGTGGAAGTGCTTACACCATTTTTCCTTTTGTGGAAAAATTAATTCATCAAATTTACACCTTTTCCCTAAGCTTATACCTTTTTGTGGAAGTGCTTATATTTTTTTTGAAAAGTTACTCTTTTGTGAAATAATTTTTGTCATAAGATTTATACTTTTTCTCCGAAGTTACACCTTTTGTGGAAAAAAAAATTCATCAAATTTACAAATTTTCCTTAAGCTTACACCTTTTCGTGGAAGTGCTTATATTTTTTTTGAAAAGTTACTCCTTTTGTGTAAGAATTTTTGACATAACATTTAAACTTTTTCTTCCAACTTACACCTTTTGTGAAACCCCAACTTAAAGCTTTATTCGGAAGTCACTTACACCTTTTGGGAAAAAAAAAATCATCAAATTTACACCTTTTGCCTAAGCTTATACCTTTT